TACCTACTCTCTTTAGCAACTTTGTTGCGAGAGTATAAAAATAGCAAAGATGTCAACGTCAATACAAACATACATACATACGTACATAAGTATATATGTATGTATTTGCACAAATAAACGCTACAAAAGTATGATTTGGATAAAAATTGCATCAAAAATAACCACTAATTAAGTATATATGAATATATATATGTATATTATCTGCATATGATTATTATACATACATATACATACATATGCGTTTATATGATTTTTTTGACTTTTGCGCAAATTAAAATTCTCAGTGGCAGACATGTCTGTCAAATATGCAAATAGAGTCAGGCATGTATGTATGAAATTGCGCGCGAATTTAAATATTTAAACACACTTCTAGCTGCATGTTTGCATATGAGAGTATGTTTGCACCAACATTTGTGTAAGATTGTCGACGCTTATCTTTGGAGGCAAATATGTATTTGTTTAACTACTCATTTACTTAATTTAATATGTAAAATATGCAACTTATGTTTACGAGTATATTATTTATTCATACATATATGTATGTATGGTATGTGTTTATTTGCATAAATCGGTTTTGTGTGTGCGTCGATCTGCGGTAGATACATATAGATTTCTTAATTCCACCAGGCGAACATGAAGCAGCAACCGACGCGGCCGCAACGGCAAAGTTACTCTGGATTTTCGTGTAAATATACAAAAAAATATAGATTTTTATATGCTCATATGTATGTGAGCGTGTGCAACAGATTTCGTAGCTAGCCACACAAATAAAAATGCTTTTCACAAGTAACTCATCGTGCCAGCCTTCGCAGTGCAACAAACACAGTTAYAAGCAACAAACATAGATTTACATTCGTGCAATATTTTCAACCACATTTCACCAGACAATAATATGTATATGTTATATATACATAAGTACATAGATTATTCAYATATACATACGTATATTTATGAGTTTTTAAATGCATTTCATACAGCAGTGTTCATATCTAACTGCTGGTTAATTACTGGCAGCTACGCGAACTTGTAAATGTAGTGCACTTGTAGTACAAATACAACAAAATAATACACTAGATAACATTTCAACAAGCTCGGTGTCTCTTCGACACTGACTGGCACATTTATGTTGTGCAGTGCAGCAACATTAAGATGCATATACATAAGTATGTACATAGATATATATACATATATATGTATGGGTATGTATAAAGGCAACTCTTCTTAATACGGGTATACACACATTCATACAACTAAAAAAGGTGTAAAAACTATATTAACAACTACACAAGTGTTCTTTGCGGAACTATTTACATATAATTTAAAAACAGGTGTGAACACATACACAAACATGATTATATATCTACATATATGTAAGTGCATAAAGCTTATTAATCTGCTAATCCAAAAGCCAAACTATAAACAACAGCAGCAGTAATCATCATAATCGACAACTTTAGACTTGGACCATTTCCCGCAATTATAGTACGCACTGTAGGGCTGGTCGTTTTGTAGATTAAAAAAATTTTAAAACTTGAAATTGTAACAAATGAGTTATRTACATACATATACAAGTATGTTCATATTATTTGAACCCTTAACCACTCAAATACTTCCTTCCTGTAAAATAAAATCCACACCAAACATAAGTCCYATAGCTCAACTCTAAACTCTTTACAAATAACTACTGCAAGTTTTTAGAAAAACATCTTTTATATAAAAACTTTAACTTTACTAAACTACTAACTAACTAAACTTTAAGACGAACTACAATTATCTATACACATTGAATATTTTTAGAATTTGGAGTAATTTCTTTGGAACCACCCTTATGTATATACTATATTTCATCAGAAAAAGTAATACTGATTATTTTAAACCTTCCCGAGAGACTATTAAGAGAAGCATTTGTGTTTAGCATGCCAGAAGATTCGTACAAGTCTAGCCAGCGAATCCATAATAGTCAGTTGTTTGGACGAATGTGAAGAAAAAACATTGCTGCCCAAAAGAAACATAARAGCACAGTTGAACTTTGCCAATGAAAATTTACGTCAATTTKTAGAAAAGGGTCTTTGGATTAAACCATTCGCCTATCGCCCCAGGAGTCGGGCATATAACTCGAGATGCACCACAAAAACCGTTACCGGTCATAACGTTATGCTGTGGGAAGCGTTTTTCTGATGTTGAATGTTTCACGCCTCAATATTCTCCAAAAAACCATGTAACCGTTTGCGCTTGAATTGATGCCTATGGATGTACAGTTAAAAATGTGAAGATTTGGCTCATTGCAGAAAGTATTAACGTGCTGAGGTGGCTAGCGCAAAAGCCCATTGAACATTTATGGAGCGTTGAAAGAATTCAACAATGCTGAAGAACTTTGGACAGGAATCGAGGAGACATGGTGGAGAGTTTGCCAAGAATTTTGAAATATTCCAATTAATGGGTTCATCAACAAAGAAAATGGTCGCTGTTGAGGTGAGTCAAGGCCTCGAGTGATTTAGGAAGCTCAAATGCATCCCCAAAAATGTACCGTTTGGTAAGAATAGTGGTATGGCGGCATAGGTGAGCCTTATTTATTTCGAAATGAGACAGTAAATACTATATTGATCAACTTGTTTCCCCAGAATTTGACGAAATTAGCGCAGAAAGGCAGTGCGTCGTTGCGTGCAAAGTTTGACGACTCATTACTATCGAGAAATTGCCCAGTCAAATGGTCACAAAGATCATGCGATTTCTGGGCRTATGTTAAATCACGGCAATCACCCAGAAACGCTATCATAACTACAGCTATTTACTTGTGTAGAACAAATTTCATATTTATTATTTTAAASTAAACAAATCGAACATCCCTAATATTACCAACACAATTTACTAGCATATACATAATATTATGTACATACAATATACATACATATATATTTCAGCTGATGCTCCTTAAGTAGAAAAACATCATGTGAAGCAAATATTTGCTATCTCATTACAACCATTTACCTGCTTAGTATGTTATTTTCTACATATCTTATTGTATATATTMTATTATCTTTTCTAAAGGAAGAGTAGCTATGTATGTACGTTAGGATAAGCCAAAAATACGCCAGTGTCATATTTATGAGTTGAAATATAGTTGAACCTACGGATATACGGAGGACAAAAATATTGTTTTGTACATTGAGAGTTCTTGCCTATAAAACAACTTAAATCGACTTAATTTTTTTCATTCACAAAATTTGTACATTTAAATGCTTTGATATTATTTTTTTCTAGTTCACCCTTATAGCTATTATTTAATGCATATTTATTACACTGTAAACTGCTACAAATTTATAATTGGTATGAACTKAGTTTATTTCCATGGAACCTTGTCTACATTTATCGCTTTTCGTTCATTAACAATTGAAAACATATGTGTTTATACAATTTTATTTTCTTCCGGTTGATTGATTATGTTGAAACACCCTGTAGAAAATTAGTCTACTAAGCAAATAACCTGAAAATTTGTAAGCAAACCACCAAAAGCGCAGGACGAGGAATAAGGAACATCCTAAATTAGAACTACTTATGAGTCGATCAACATTTTTTTTTTTGTGTTTTTTCATTTTCAAACTTTTGAATGTTACGAGTATTTTGAGCACTGTAAAAATTACAAAAAAATTTGAAGCAATTACACATCTGTGTCCATCTTTCTCGTCCGCTCGAAAAGTATTTGGTCAATCAATAACACAACCAGCCATCTTAAACCATACAGCGACACTCAATCACAYTTATACAACGCGAGATACGTATATATTAAGTACTTAACTAATTTAGTGACAGAATAAGTGATTTTATTTCACTGCAACTTATTTTATAATATCTTTTAAAACTCACCTTTTATCACAAAGTAACTTAAATAAATGCGGATTTTGTTTTAAGAATCTTATTGAATAAGCTTTAAGGAAATACTAAACTTTTAATCAGAAGATTTTTCTTTTAAAAGCAATATCTTGTTTAAGAAACATTGTAATGTATTATAAATCTGAATATACATAAATCTGTCAAATTTAATATTTATTTTCCGGTCATTATCTTCTTAGAATCTCATCTAKGTATGTATAAGTAGTATATACTGATACCATATATGAATAAAATTTATTATGTTTTTATACTCTCGCAACATTTGCAAAAACGAGTATAACAGTTTTTGTATAACATCTGAAAGTACAAGTATTAGGGATAAATATGCAGTTATGTACATATACATATAAATGATCAGGTTACGAGTCGATTTGACTTCCAAGTGACTAGTATGTCCACCTATCTGTAGGTACAAGCGATAACTTTAGTAAAAASCGRGATATCTTGATGAAACACGCGTTCCTGSGCGCTGAAGGAAGGTTGAAATTACACTTGGGCACTGTTCATAAAATGTTGTTAATCAAAAACTTGCTAAGCCATACTTATATTAAGACACAAATGTAACAAGGCATAAAATTGGAAAACTACTGTAGCGCCGCCCGTTTTAGGGAATATTAAATCCTTTAAACCCAATTTGGTGCATAATATTATTAWAAAATTCTTATCTTACATTGTAACACTTGACGAAATCGGACTTCAACCACGCGTATTTTTCACACCACCCAATATCAAAACTTCAAGTGATTATTTCGCTACAAAATATATAAATTAAAGAATGGGACATTATCGAAATAAAACTATGTTAAATCATGCCTTTAATGATAACTCATGTAAAAAAAAAATTTTGAAATCGGATTAGTAATTCCCTTAGCCCTTAAATGCCTAACTTATGTAGATATTTTCGAACTTCCGGTTGACTTTATGTCGTATACCATATACAGAAGTCATCTTAATAAAACTTTTTTTTAGACTTTTCCTTAACTAATCTTCCAGACATGGTGATTTTTGACCCTCAAGTGGTAAGTTGGTCAATATATGTATGTAATACATATTTCAATGAAATCAAGTGAGTGGTTGTGAAAACGATGGCACCCTTAATATATTGTTTTCCATTCTCTCGTTAACTTTTCCGGGTTTTAATAGTCTGGTAACTTGAGTTCAAAAAATCTAAAAATTTTTTTGCTTAATTTGAAAGTACAATGTCTTGAGAATATACTGTCAAAATTTCAGAAATTCCAAATATTTCGGGAGTTATAACAAGTTTCCTAGAGCACCTCGGAGTTGTTAAACTTTAAACGCGTCTTTCTCACAACATTACTTTTCTGGTCAGCCCGGGTCCTAACTTTTTTTTCTACTGCTTGCTTTCAAATTTTAACAGGCTGTTCTACATACTCATAGTTCTCGTCGGTACTATCGTGAATTCACCCCACCCCTTACTTTTTATTTTACAACCCTTTCTTTGCTAAAATAAATTGACTTCTTTTTTCAAAGTCCGCAATTTTGTTATTTAATCTTGAAATTTAACTTCCATAGTTCCGACCAGATTGACGTGTCTATAGATTATGAATAATCAAGAATATTCGATTTCATTTGATTTGAAATTTGCGATAATATGAAATGTTAATGTTCGGTTAGAGCCGCACTTAATCCTTCCTTATTTGTAAATTCTATAAATATTAATTATTTGGTTAATTGTTCGGAAACTAGTTCAAAGTTTTTATTTTAAAATTAATTAATTCGTAAACTTTATCTTGAAATTACATACGCTGTATTCGAAATTGAACCACTGCCAATACAGGGTTTATCCGGAAAGTAATAGAACTGATTTGGGTCCGCTGCGACTATACTTCGGAGCGTGCGCGCACCGACTGGATTTGGTAGAGGACGTCCCTAGTTAAGGAACGAGCGGCTGGTCAGTTGTCTCCGAGCACCTGGACAAACATTTTCGCGCGACATGTTTTTGTAAGTAGTGCAAGCCGTAAATGCAGTGTTCATTAGATCAGAGTTTAAAGAGTTGTACCGATTGGTTTAATACATTTTTTTAAATTGACTCCGTCTTATTACTTTTCGGACAAGGCCTGTATAGTGGTTTAACCAAACTGCAAGCACCCTTAAACAACAGAATTTCTGTCTAAAATCTAAAAAATTATCTGCTGAAAACATAGAAAGCGACAGACTTCAAGCGACATTTGTCAAATATTAATGACTTCACGACTACATAACTGTGTCCATAAGAACGTGTGTATATTAATGATTGAGAGAGATGTTGCTTGAAGTTTGTCGCTCTCTATGAGTTCAGCGTATTAATGAACCCTATAACCCCATAGGCATTAAGCGCCGAATTCGTGAGTATTCGTATACCTGCTTCAGTGCACCTGCTTCCATACAAACCCGAATAGTAGACATTGCGCTTCGTTAAAAATATAAGCATACGTATGCACATACATACATATATATTTTTTAGGCAGTTTTTCGCTCTCACAGCGCGTGCAATTGCTCTCTGCGACGCCATTCACCGCCTAACTGCAAATAAGTCACTCATTTGGCTCTCTTTCATTACCGTCATTGAAATTTGCATTTATGATGTACAAGCATGTATATATGTATCCAGCGTTTACATATGTTTATAGCTAAATAACATCGTGTTTTTGTTTAGTTGTTAATGTTGATGACCACCGACAATCAACCACTAACCGCCGCAGCCGCTATTCGTGCCGTGCTGTGCGCCTGTTCCGATGTCTTGTATGTTTTGTATATAATGCTGTGTGGCTTCGAATGATATTTAGCGGTTTGTTGTTGTTGTTTTTATACAAATATTATTCATTCAAAGTATTTAATATTTATTACAAGAGTAAACATAAACATATGTAAATGATATGTATATATAATAAATATGCTCACATAAATACACTCAATCATATGCTAAGCGTGCCTTTTGACGACATAAACCAACATTTACACATCTACACATAAATACATRCACGTAAATGCAAGGCAAAGTAAACATTTTCAAATACTTTTATGGTGATATATTTATATCCGAATGTTGTAATGTGTGCGCGGCATGTAAAGAGCGCCGATGGATGAAAAACAAAAATAATACGAGTATATTACGGAATGAATGCGTAACTTACGGACATATGTATCTACTCGTCTATATATATACGTAAGTACGCATGTACCCAGAAGAGCACAGAGAGTGTAGCAGATTGACGGTAGRCACGAAATGCGAATGAAATTAATATGTAGCTAGGTTTTTATATGTACATACATACATACATACATATGTCTATACCTTCTGTAGGTGCGGTATGTTTTAATGACGGTATAACTGTTGTATATTTATTACTTTTAATAATCTGGCATGGCTTGTGGGAAGAAAAARCGACTGTAGGAAATGAAACATATGACTTACGACTGCTGTTTTCAGCTGATTYTCAATTCTGCACGAATGAGTCATAAGTATTTGATTTCGTGTTGAAATATAGCAGAAACCAAAACAATTTTGAATAGGGCTACAACGAAAATATAATAAATTTCACAGATCCAAGTTTTCCATAAAAGAACTGAATTTCGATTACTCAGTTTATATGGCAGCTGTATGCTATAGTGAACCAATCTGAACAATTTCTCCGCAGAATGGCTTAAGCAATAACCCATGACAACGTTATTGAAGATATCTCATCAAATGAAAAAACTTTCCATTTTATTCCGATCGTTCAATTTGCATGGCAGCACCATTATGTTATAGGTCCGATGTGAATTATTGTATTTTTTATACCCTGAATATACCCTATATTAAGTTTGTCACGAAGTTTGTAACACCCAGAAGGAAGCGTCGGAGACCCTATAAAGTATACATATATCTAAATGATCAGTATGTTGAGCGGAGTCAATTTAGCCATGTCCGCCTGATCTGGTCTGTCCGTCTGTCTGTATATATACGATATCGTTTTTAAGATATCGTTTTGAAAATTTGCATATGTTACTTTCTCTTCAATAAGCTGCTCATTTGTCGGAACTGCCGATATCGGACCACTATAACATATAGCTGTCATACAAACTAAACGATCGGAATATAGTGCTGGTATGAAAAACTTTTGCATTTGACAAGATATATTAATGAAGTTTGGTAAAGATTATTTTCTAAGGCAACAATGAAATCTCCGAAGAAATTGTTCAGGTCGGCTTACTATAGCATACAGCTGCCATATAAACCGAATGATCAGAATCAAGGGCTTGTATGGAAAACTTTCGCATTTCACGTGGTATCTTCACAAAATTTGATATGGATTACTGCTTAAGGTAATACTATAATATCCGCAAAAATTGTTCAGATCGGATTAATATAGCATATACATAGCTTTCATATAAACTGAACACATAGTTACTAAAAGAAATGCATCTGTGTAGGGTATATTAGCTTCGGTGCAGCCGAGAATTTATGCTAATTTTTGTGAAGATCCCTTGTCAAATAAAAGAGTTTTCCTTACAAAAACTTGGTTTTCATCGATCGGTTTGTTTGACAATTATAAGTTATAATGGTCCGACATCGGCGATTTCGGCAAAAAAAAAGCAGTTCGTTGAAGAGGAAAGGAAATACATATGCAAAGTGTCAGATAAAACCTCTAAAACTAAGCGACTAGTTTCAGGCGGACATATGTAGCTAAATAGAGCTGATCACGATGAACATTTATGCATACAAACATTTTATTGGGTGTTACAAACTTAATACAAGGTATTCATTACATTTAAAGACGTTAAAATATCCAATGATTTGGATACTTTTAACAAAATGTCGAAAGTGGAATTTGTAGATTGCCGTTAAGGACTTACATGGATTTACTGATTTCAAAAAATCGAATTTTCCATTATCTTATTAAATTCCATAAAACCTCTAGAATATTGTCCAAAAGTTTTAAGTTGATCCGAGTAATAGTTTCGGAGATACAGCTTTGAGAATTTGTGCGCTCGATGCTAGTCTTAAACACGTTTTTATCGAAACTGTGTTTTTTTTTAGTCGGGAACTACTCAAGCGATCTTTATGAAATTTTACAGAATTTTTTTCGGTTACAATTATTAGAGAAAAGAAAATGTCTCAAAATTTTTACTGAAATTTTAATTTTTTCGTAAAATTGTTTTTTTCCTACTTCAAAGTTTTAAGTTAAGGTTCTAACTAAAACAGGTATTTTTCACTTTAGATGATCCTGTAAGGAGTTATCCTGCTAACGCGGGCGCATATTTTTTCCGAAATCTCACCGGAGATGGAGTCACAATGACCGAGCTTAAAATTTTTTTTTTCCAAAAATTTCAGAATTTCTTTGTTACTGTATATGTTTTTAACAAAAAAAATTCCAATAAAATATTTAAATTTTTATAAGAAAAAAAATTGTTGAAAATCAGCTGTTTTTTCAGGGAAACCCATGTAACCCTTTAAAGAGCTCTTAGAGGATTCTTAGGCAATAATAAATATTCTAACTACAAACAAATCGTAAATTGAAAGTCCTAAGCTAAATTTTTCCATCCCCACCTCGACTACTTTTCAGAAAATTTAGGAGATGTGAGTGAGAGCAAAGTGAAGGATTTCACCAAGATATGAGGGAGATAGAAAAAATATACCGGGAAAGATGGAGTGTGTAAATGGCAAGCTATTGTTGTACTCTTCAGTGAGACCTTCCTGATACTTCCAAAAGATGAAATTGTGCCAAGCGGAGTCTCGCTAGGGGGAAAATATTTTTCGTAGTTTTGTTACACAATTATAAAAAATCTTTGGTTTACTCTTTTTTCTGTGATAACTTATTTAACATCAAAAGAATTTATGACAAAATGAAAGTCATTTTCGATTTCAGCACACAAGAGGTGATAAGAGTTATGGAAATGCATTTTACTCAAAACTTTATTTTTGTAATTTGCTAGAGTCTATCAAGGTTTTCTGCGTGCTGTGTATATATGTATGTAGTTCTCCATACTATTTTCCTACCAGTTTTTTATCTGATACAAAATCGAATTTGACAGTTAAAACCGACGTTTTCTCTCTTTCTCTGTCCACTTGTGCTCTCTCGTCAAAAAAAGCAATACCTGTTAAAGCAAAAAAAAGTTGTAGTTGAATGCGTGCGAGAGAGTAAGCGGATACCTCGTTGAAGTAGTAAGACGCTATCTTCAATGCTTTGTTTTGCATATTTTAGACCAGTTTTACAATTGTAAATGATTCTAATGACATAAGAAAATACAAATTTCTTTTCTCTTGTATTTTTGTAACAAAATAAATGTAAATAAAGAGTTACAGCAACGCTTTTTCACACGAAAAAAACTTTCCTTCGCTAGATAATAATTTCTTCACTAGAAAGGCGCAGGCGTCCGAATACATGTTAGCGCAGGGTTGCACCACAAATGCTGCCCGTTTATTTCAACATTTGGTATAGCGACGCTTGACGATGCAATGTTAAACCAAGAGTCGTTAGTAAAAATTTTTCTCAGTGTATCTTTATATTTACCAGCAGCTGAATTTATAGGCATACTTTCAGGCGGTAGTCACTCAAATGGCTTGTGTTGTACATTTAATATAAAAACCACGTTCCGAACATTTGAAAGAAGTGTTGCTGGGGCTATACAGTATCTTCAATATTTTTTTTTTTTTTTTTTTTTGTTGAAAGTACGGAATTAGGAATTAAGTCTCGCCAAAGTTCCAACACTAGTGCTTATTGAAAGAAAAATAGTTTTCGTAAACTTTTTTCTGTACTCACTTTATATTTTCTTAGTTTTCATTGTACAATCAAATTTTTTCAGTTACAACTAAAGTTTTGGAATTTATTTACACAATTAAATAAGTAAGTACTTTTATATTTAAAGTATGTACACATGTATGTATGTGAATATTTGTGAAATATGAACTAAAGTTATTTTTAGAAATAATAAAAAATCATATTTTGGATAAGTCTTTACAAATTCATAGCAAATATTTGTTTTCAAAATTCAATCAGCTTTTAAAATCACGTGTTAGTCCTTATATAGAAAGTAAAAATAAATTTTCTCCATTAGCAAAATCTGTTTTGTTAAGAAAATGAATCCAGCAGATGCAGAAAAATAACTGCTTAACCGACCAAAAATTACTGCCGAAACATGGATGCGTGTGCCTTTCAAAACTTATGTACATTTTTTATCTACCGAACTTAATTTAAGTCATTAGAGTATGTTATTTGTTAAACTCTACAGGCTGGTTGCCTAGGCAACACTTTGTTCTCACTTTGTTTGCTACCTTTCTGTTAGTAATTTAGCTATATATATATGTATATTTGTTATTCCATTAACTAACTACATTTCTATGATTTCAGCAAAATTATAGGAATTACGAACAGCCTCGGTTGTACAACGCAGAGYGCTTTGGAAAGTTCCAGCAGCCGCAATTAGGCATAAAGAGCCTCGATGACATCGGCATACTGTTTGGCGACAACATTGCGTTTCACCTTCAAAGTGGGCCCTAAAACATAAACAATAGATTAACGATGTTCCCACAGTAGCATATTCCAGTACACTTACCCAATTCACCCGTGGGAATGGAAAAGTCATGTGGCAGGATTGTGAATTTCTGTACCTTCTGCGCATTGGAAATGGCGTGCTTGTTGGCGCGCTTGATGCCGTCTTCGATGGATTTCCACACCTTGGGACAAGGGCCGGCCTTCAGAATTTCACTCAGCGTTTTGTGTTCAACACCCAAACTCTTCACCCAAGTGAGCGACTCGTGAGTGAGGTCGTCGAGTGGTGCACCAGTTTCACGATCCATTTCGGTCTTCAAAGCAAAAGTCAGATTAAGTATGGTATATTGAGTGGCTGATAGCACTTGGTACTTACCTTGATTGTTAGCAACACGGTCAGGTACTTGCGCTGCTCACCCACCAAGAAGGCATTCGCAATGCCATCCAATTCCTTCTTGATCAAATTCTCAATATGCACCGGTGGAATGTTCTCACCACCAGCAGTAATGATAATCTCCTTGGAACGTCCGGTTATGTAAACGTAGCCTTTGTCATCGATGTAGCCAACATCGCCGGAATGCAGCCAACAGTCTTCGTCCAGCGCCTCATCGGTTTTCTCCTGGTTGTAAATGTAGCCCATGAAAACGTGACGGCCGCGTATGCAGATCTATTCAGTAGCATGAAGATACAAAATTAGCATTTGGAAGATCATAAAATCGCAGACTTTTCTCCCTACTTACCTCACCATGACCATTTTCATCCTTGTTGATAATCTTAGTCTCGCAACCGGCCATTGTTTTACCGATCGAGTTCAACGGCTGTGTATCAGGCAGACATAACGTGTGGCAACCGCCCACTTCAGACATTCCGAAGGCATCCAAAAGTTTCATGTCCAAGCTGAGGAAATATTTCTTCGTCTCGGGTGACATGGGTGCCGCAGCAGTGACGTGAGTTATGCACCGATCAAAGCCGAGCGCATGCTTCACCTTGGACATAACCAACTTCTTAGCGAGGTTATAACCGAAACCACCGGGACCCTTGCTGTTAAGGAAAGTGGAATTATTTATAAGGGACACAAGTAGTTCTTGTTGTTAGAAATCATGGACGGGCATGTTTGTTGGCTGCAAGTTTTGACTAAAATGGAATTGAACTTGCGAAAGCTGTAGACTTCGTGGTGTCTGCAGCAAATAATAAATTTATTCTCATTTCAATTTAGAACAATTGAATTTATACTATTTACAAAACTTTTCAAAATGCATACCAAACAATGGACGAACATTTAAGCGCCGGTTGCTCTTCTCATGCCACACTGACTGCGAGATGACAGTTCATTTACGTCATTACACTCGCCATGGCTTCGCTGACGGTGTGTTAATTAAGTGCAATTACTCAACGCTTGAATGTTAAACGCCAAGTTAACGGTTAATGGTAGACAGCGGGCAGTCGTCACGCTAGACGACAAAATAGCCGACTGACAAACGATCGGCCGACACCATTTAAGTGAGCACATAACAATAACGTGTGGCACATTAATCAAACGGTAAAAATACTTGCTCTCTATAAGGACGTGCCCACAAACATATATGGATACTTTCTCGACACACCAAATAGCAACGAAGCAACCAAATAGAAAAGTTTACACAACTTACCCATGAGTCTCCATGTAGTGACGCAATGTTACACCCTTAGCCCAGCTGGCGAGCATTTTTTTCAAACCGCCGTTGGAGGAGCCAATGGCCACCATGCGTTCCTGGAATTTTTCATAGACACGCGGAACTCCCATAAATCTTGTGGGACGCGCATCTTGCAACGTCTTCACGAGTGTACCCTTCAACGCATCCTTGTCGGCGAAATAGATGCAACCGCCTATGGAAGCCACTGTGTAGATATCAACAGTCTGTGCGGCCACATGGGAGAGTGGCAGATAGGATACGACCACCTCAGAGCCGGCTGTAACATTGTATAGCGACTTCATGATGGCGCGTGTATTAAAGATGAGGTTGTCATGGCTAAGCATAACACCCTTCGGCATGCCCACGGTACCAGACTGTAAGTAAGAAGAGGCGAGAAAATCAAGTGGTTAGTGGCAGCAATGGAAATAGAGGATGCGCGGATATCGTGCATGAAGCTAAAAGCAATTAATTTGCAGCGGAAAATGCATCATAGTTGAGTTCGACAGACGTGGAGACCCCAAACGTGAAAAAATATATGTACAAGATATTAAGATTGGCAATAGAGACGCTTTAACTGTCTGCCCTTAAAGTTAGCTGCTAATCTGAAACTACCACAACAAATTACTTACAGTGTACACCAGACAGCAACATTGGTTTACAGCGATATGTGCCAGACGTTTCTGATACTCATTTTCGACATCCGCAACAGCCATCGCCTCAATTTCGGACCACTATACAAAGACACATAGTTGAAGTTTATTTAATTAGATGCAACCATCAACTTTCTTTCTAAACCACTTACCCTGTAGTAGCCATCTTCCTTCTTCATGTAAAGCGCATATGGTTCCTGAATTTGAATAGCCGCCTTCAGATGTGGCAATTTGTCTCTAATCTCTTTAATCTTATCCATTTGCTTGGATTCGTCGACCACCACAATTTGTGCACGCGAATTCTCCAAAACATGCAGACAAGCTTCCGCTGAGTTGGTCGTGTAAATACCGGCGATAATACCACCGGCGTGTATGGCGCCCATCGCCGAGTAAAACCATTCGGCGCAATTGAAGGATAGCACACCCACTGAGTGGTGCGGCTCCAGACCGAGCTTGATGAACGCTTTGGCGACTTGATGCACTTTTTGTTCATATTGCCTGGCGCAGTTCCGGAGCAGAGTCGATAAATTCGGAAAAGAGGAAACAAAAAATTAGTTAATCCAACAGCAGTGTGAAAATTTGTCTTCGCCTAATGGCAGTGGAGCGTGAAAATATGGCGACAAATGGAGAAATGGATTTTATGTTGGCACAAATCTGCGGACATACGTTGGAAGTGCGAATGTATGGCCGGCGGGGAGTAGGTGTGGACGTGGCGCAGTTAGTAGTGGTGTCATAGTTGGCACGAATGGTGAATTGTGATGAAAAATGTAATCCAGCCGATTCGCTTTTTACACAGTTGGCTGTGGTGCCAAGAAAAAAATGCGTGAAAGTGATTTTTGGACGGCGGCAACAGCGCACAATGGCGGGATTTATGGTTAGCAAATCAGAGAGAGCGAAGTATTAAATTTAAGTGCTGAAGTACGGTTGAACCAATTGAAATAGACGACTACGATAAGCAGATATCGCTTTGAATGTGAAAAAACTGGTAGTTATATTTATTTAGGTTATTTAGGTTAGATGTTGAAAAAATTGCTCTCGAAAGCATATATGTATGTATATCACAATAAAGGTTTCTGCAATTGCTACAATGCATCTTAACGACAGTAATATGAAAGATCTCCATACTTATCGGAGTCTAGTACCGGACTGTACCGGAGTACAGTCGGGATCTACACCATGTCTTAATAGTTAATAAAAAGTGCTAATGACGTTCAGCAGATTTGAAAATAAAGCGCGGGCTTCTTACTATATTCACCTGTAAGTAACGGTTTCGTATTCCTTGTTCTCATTTTTCGTGCGCAGCGCTGGATAATCACCATAATTATTAACTGTACGCTTCAAGACACCGGGTACGGAAATCGGCTCCTCAGCTGAGAGGCCCTCAGTGGATCTACGAATCTTCACTGGCTCCGTCGGATCGCTAGTACGATATGACTCGGCTGGCAGCAAGCGATTCGGACCGGGGCGGTTATATAATGACTCCCAATTGGACATGTCGTCGGTAGTTCAGGTGCAGCGAGAAGTACAGAAAGCTACAAGAGAGTTAAATATAAGAGTTACTTAAAATTGGATAATTAAAAAAGATGGTCTGCTATCACTTTATACGACAGTGCTTAGTGCAATCTTCAACGAATAAGGCATAAATAAAGTAGAATACACTCGTATGTTTTCATTAAATTTTCGAATAATTATAGTTTCAAATATTGACAGCAGACTAAAGTCACCTCATCAACCGATAACCTTTGTCTTACGTCACGTGACCTTATGTGTCTGATGTTTACTCATACTAATGCGAGTAATGAACACCATAAACACAGCCACACGAAGAAATTAGTATTTGATGCTAATCTTATGTGAGATTTACTCTGTTCCAATATTTGTGCTCGCATACAATTTGCTCACAGTACCCACAGCTGGTAATCACTTGATTTACTATACGTGTTAACAGTGTACAAATTGGAAAATTAAGCATTTATTGCTAATAATAATTAAATTTCAATGTGTCGATAGGCCAAGCAAGAAAGTTGCCCCACACGTTTGATTTATTTACATACACATGTATTTGCGGTAGCCTGACCATTTTACATTAAACTCTGACGTAGCACTTATTAAAATACAACAATAAACCCGTTTTTGCCTGAAATATTCAGTTGTCGTTAATTGAGAATGTCGAAAGAATATGCATTATTTCAAATAAATGGTGRCCCACAAGTTATAAGAAGTTTGCCACGAAGTTTGTTACACCCAGAAACAAGGGCATGCGTAAAGTGGGATTTCCCACATTTCGGGAGGAGATCCAACCCGAGAACGATCATACGGAGTCTTCGTTAAACTTCCAGCGCTTACTCGGAGTTCGTCCGCTATTCTCCATAGAGATATTTTTTTCCGTGAGAAAATTTTTTTAATATAATGACTTCAAAGCTCAGAAGAACGATATTATAAGCAAGTTTTACTACTTTGCCAAAATTTTGTGGAAAAGTTAATATAATTTAATGAAAAATATACGTTAGCAACACTAATTATATTTGTCTTTCTCATCTTTCTTTAAGCTTGATACATAAATGACGAGCTGAGAAGATTAACCCGTGCCCATCTTTGCGTTTGTATTTACGCGAGCTAACCCTTTACTTTCTCAGGTATCGATCGGAAATTTCGGGCGTGCTCTTTTCTCCACAAGAAGCTTGGAACAACATAGAAAATAGCTGACATACATACTGAGCGATCAGATGGATGCAGTGAAATGCTTCTGATCTACCAGAAAATTGAATTCCCGACTACGACGAGGATGCCTATTGATGTTACCTATCGAACGCCTGCATGGTGCTTGGAGCGGAAGGCCTCCTAAAAGAGGTCAACTACGTTGACGACATCAGACAATACGCCGACCAGACTTCGGACGCAACAAACTTCCGACAAGCCCTGACCGCCATTCACTGCGGAGCCATTAACACCTCCACCGACTCGCTTCTAGTGAATGGCGCACTCGGATTCAAACCACCACCCATTACAGACGAAGAGCTCGAGTTGCCGCGAGAAAGTAGAGTGAAGCTTGCGCAGCTTCGTTCTGGATGCCGTAGCAGGTTAAACTGCTACCTATCCCGACATATCCAATATGTACATATGTCTTGCGTGCAATGAGTCTTCGCATGACACTGACCACCTCTTTGCATGCCCCACCAACCCCACTTATCTGAGGAGTGCCTCTTCTTTTGGCACGGTCGAAACAGCACGTTTCTTGGGTCTTCCGTTGGATGACGTCGACTGCAACTTACTATCCTAACGGGGAGTAGTGACCCGCTAAAAAAACAACATATTATTGTTATTGTCCAAGGCAATAGCGCAATCTTCGACCAAATATCTCAGATCGAGCTACCAGACCTAAAATTCGGAATTCTTATATGAAGTATGCATAGACACTTATACTTCGATTCCTAAAATATACTTTTTCGTGAATCATATTTTAGAAAACTGCCGAGAACTAAGCATTTACTAACTCCAATATTTGACGGATTTGAAGGTTAAAATATTTGTCTAACGAAGAAGCTTTCCAGAGCAAGCATTAACACAACAGAAATTTATGGCAAACGTCTCTACGTCATCTCACAATTGAAACAAAGAATTATTTTTAGCCAAAAACACTTGATTTTTTGTTCTACCTCACATTATCGGCACAACATGGGGCCAAGTGCTTGACATATTTGCAAATAGACGGATAGGAAGTGAAGAGAGAGCAGCTTAAGCGCTTCGCCATATACTCTCTCAGCGAGCGTCAAAGCGGAATTGCACCTGTGTGAACTACCGTAAGCGCTGCGCTTAATACGATAACTGGTTAGAAGAAATGTGTACAAAACCAACAAAAATGGTAAAGTTTAACTAAACGAGTTTGGTTGGAAATGGCAGGCGAGCGCGTGAAATGTGTGCAAACTACTCATTTGGCGAAAGCAAAGCAGAGAAAGCAACAACAATTTGAAATTAGTGCGAATCTATGAAGATCTAAATATACAAATGTTTACCAATTTCGCAGGTATCGGCCAAAAGCAAAAGCAAACTGCGCAACATGAAGACAGCGCGGAAGGAAGGTCACTGAACGATCGGCAGTTGAAGAGGCTAACGTATGTTATTTCAGCGGCGCTCTGCGCATGCAGCCATGTGCTCGTGTGTGGTGTTTGTGTGCCGCCGGTTCSCGAGGTATTTCCCAAACTCCGGCTTGGCAAACGTCACTTTTTTTTGCAAATTGTTCGTTGTTGATATTTGATTTTTCTTTTGATGAAGTGGCTTTGTGAGCGTACAGGCACGTTTCCACTTCGGTTGTTGTTGGTATTGTAGTAAGATAAGCGCATAAAATTGCATGTACCTAAGTTATACTATACTATAGTTAAAGTATATACTTTGTGTCAATAAAAAATATGGTTATAAACTCGTTGCGCTCTTTGCTTGCTTGCTCTCCGAAAGAGAAAAAAAATCAGTTACATACAACTTTTGACATTTTGCTCTTCATTTCGTGCTTTGCTGATAAGCATTTTTGTAATTAGTAAAAAAAAAAAACTATTTTCAGCGCTGGACTATGCACTACTCGAGACTTTCGATCATGGGTGCAATTAAACATCCGCACTTTGGACCAAAGCAATTTACGCACACGCCTTTATGTACCACTAAAATTTTTTTTATGATGCCGGCCGATGTTTAACTTCATTATATTGTATACATTTTTTATAACAAACATTTTATTGTGTGGCTAATGCAAAATTACTGTAGGCGTTGCAGTGTAAATGTGTACATGGATCAGAGTTTAATGACCATACCGGACATTTATGAATGCCTTYGGTGTCGCTAAGAATTCGATACAATAATTAATACATACAGTAGTGATAAAGCAAGCCAGATAAAATATACTTAATTTTTATATGAGCTTATATTACTTTTACTTATTTGGTTGCTATACAATTTTTGTTCTAACTATAGGGTAGTCGAAAAAAAATTTTCGTATTTATAATCAAAAATCAACTTATTTTTACATTTTTAATGAACTTTAATCAACCAAATATGTACCATTTTGGTCCACCACTTTTTGCTATTTTCCGCTAGAGACATTATTCCATTGTCATATGGTAGTCCGATGGTGCAAGATCACTATGCTTGGACCATGACTTTTGTTTGCACATTATTGCCGTATTTGATTCACTTTTCATATCCCGTTACCATGCGTTTCAGAAATGGTTCGATTTCCTTTCGTTTCAGCAAAGAATCGCCGATGTTAATTCGGTCCATTCAATTTTTCACATACAATTCATATAGTTCCCAAATATTAAGCTTCTTTTTTGTAGCCAGCCTTTTTTAAATGGCTCAAAACCTGGTTCTGGTTTCATCGACTATTTCAACAATAGGTCGACCAGAACGATGTGCATCTTTCACTTCGAAACTTCCAGAACGGAAGAAAGCGAACCATTGTTGTGCTACATGAACTGATACAGCATCGTCTTCGTAAACTTCACAAATTTCTTTGGTGGCTTGGGTGGCATGTTTCCTTTTTCTTGTACAAAAATTTCAAAACATTGAATTTTTTCACTATTTTCACTTATTTTTGAACAGCTGTAACTTCAACAACTTCAACGAATTAAATTTTTTACAAAATACGTAAAAACTTTTTCGACTACCTAATAATATTACCTTATATTATCTAGAAGTTAAGTTTGTGTTATAAAAGTGTTTTCCATTAATTTTTGTGAAATATTTCGAAAAAAGTTCACAATCACTTCTCCCATAATTGAAAATAAACGTCAATTTCCAAGGCAATACTAGACATTTAAGGGATCTCTACTGTTGTATTTTTTCTTTGGTGCCTAGTATTGAAGTCTGGTGAGCATTCACCTTTCAGTTAAGTTCTAGTTAACGCACCCAGGAGAAAATGTACGAAAATATGTGTTTAGGTCTGCAGGATTTACTAGTTTACATAGGACTATCTACATAATGGATACAATAGATCACAACACTAAAACCTGTATCTCAATCTCACCATACTAATGGCTAAGTGCAGCAATATACTATTTATTTATTATTATATTTCTTTATGCAGAAACTAGTATTCAAGAAGATCACTTTCATACCCGTTTTATATCTCTCAGACAATGTCGACACTGACTTAAATCATTTAATAAATCTAATATATACGCATACATGTGCACATATATATTACTCTATCAAACTCAATCTTAATATTTTTATGAATTTATTATCTACTTCCTCTATCAAAAATTATTTAATTATTTTCCCTTAATTTTCCATAAATTTACTTACTAAATAAATATATATGTATTTTGAAATTTGAAGCAACAAACTCTTCAAAAACAGTTGCGAAAGCGTCACCAACACGTGGGTCATAGCACACAGCAATACCACTTGTTGTTGTTTGCTTAAGTGACCAAAATATGCTGACTAATACAGATCTTGTAATATAGACACAAAAGAAATACAAACTGAATAAACGAAAACAGCTTAAATTTTTCAAAACAAAACAACTGTTTTACAGCAAAAGAAGCGAACACAATTTTTCAAAGATTCAACGTTTTCTGCCTCCCAGCAAATAGTAGAGAGCAATTTGATTTATTTTACTCCATTGTCAATATGTTTTCGAGTTGGCCAACATTACAGTTTTTATTTAATTTAGCATATTTCAAAATTCCTCAAAACTTTTTACACTGTCACACGTAAGTATCTGATTTCAATTTTAATGTCTCGGAATTATGTAGTTGAAACTAAAGTTTAAATGCGGTACACATTTTATTATCGCCATACCACGACTTCATGCAGCGTTAGCCCTACGCAGACACTAATATTCTTAATGCCGCCATAGCACTTTTGTTCATACAATTGCATGCACTGCCGATCCGTCACTTTTAAGGTCGAACACAGAAAATTGAAACAACACCTTGGCACATTTTATTTGTTGCGTCTTTCACTGGTTGAACATTCTTCACCTACCAATAAAATCGAAAGTAGTTGACCAGCAACCAATATTTGTAGACACGAAAGAAATTAAGAGGATTGAAAAAAATCGCCCAGAAAGCAATACGAGCGTGGAGACCGCGACCCGCCAAAAGTATACGAAGAAACTTGCGCGTACAAGCCACAAAAGTAGACTGACACCGCTAACTGGCCGGAAACTTAACAAAACTTCGAATGCCTGCTAACGGCAAATGCAATGTGTTTGTATGCCCATCATATAGAGAAAAAGTCATAGAAAGAAAATAAATATATTTAGTAGCGCCTTCACGATCAGTCAATAAAAACAACTACCTACAGAGCTATAGCAAATACCGAAGTCTATAGGAGCATGCATTCAGGCAGGAAAATAGCTGCTATCAACACAGTTCATTTTCAGGCAGCCAAACTTATGCACGCTCTCGCCGCTCTGCTTCTCTTATAAATACATAGCGAGTGCTTGTACGCTCTCACCAATAATGATCAGCTCGCATTTGCTCTCCGTTTGAGCAACGTTACATATGCGTGTATGGACTCGGTATATAGGCATGTGCGTGTATTTGTTTTTCTTATCAACTTATTGATCGTGTTGTTGCAATTGCTTGACGGATCGGTCACACATTTGCTCACGCAAGAATGCAATCGCTAGAGTATTTGCTTTGTTGTTGCGTATAATCCCCGCTGAAAACGGCTGAGGCAAACGTCAGGGGACTCCAAGAAAGTTAAGATAACTAAAACATGTAAAAGTTGAAGATTAGAATAGCACTTTGCTCTTAGATATAATGTACAGGGCTGACAGAGAGAAAAAGCGACATTTCGTTTGTTACTTCCACGAGAAATTAGGGAAACCTAAACTTACTAAAGATTCGATATAACAATTTTTTTATAAAATTCAATTGCGATAAATTGATGCAATGGTCTGTTGAAAAAAAGCTTGATCGTTGATAGGCCAAATATCTTCCTAAAAACTCGAAGACTCAGTTTTTTTTTTTTAATTATTACAGATATATTGTGTGCTACAAACGGAGAAAGAATTATATTTCAAAAGAATCAAGTATGGTTAGATTAGTTTAGGAGTTAGTCCAAAATCTCACTTGAACAGATAATATTCATCCTCTGTGTTACTTGTAGACTCCTAAAGACAGATCACCATATCCTCATAGATTGACCAGGACCAAGTTCGTCTAAGGTCTGTCTACTGAGTGGTAAGGTGTTTCGACTTGGCTTCATCTTCGGCAAAGAGCGTCCGACATAATGTTTAGTCACACTGAGTGCGAAACCTATAGAACAGAGGACCTTTTACGGTTTAATCTGGCTTCAAAGAACACAATGAGTTCAAAAATCCACAACCGGTACGCAAGTAGGCATCAGGAAACTGACTCGCTTCCAATCGGATGAAAGACAGAATATTTAGACATACCGAGTGCGAAACCTGTAGACCAGATTCCAGTCTTAGCGAGATTTATCTTGCTAAGAGACAATAGGTCGGAGGACCGCTAACGGTTTCATTTGGCCTCAAAGAACTCCCTGAGCTCACTACAGGTCCATGGTCCAACGCCAGTACTCAAGAAAACATCATAAAACTGACTCGCTTCCGATCAGATGAAATTAGGGAAAGGATTCCCTCCTTAGAAGGCTTAACGGTTTTGCAGTTTTTGGCGATTTCGCTGGAATACGAGTTTAAAATGGGAAATGCTTCAATAACTCAATATAACTTAATGAGATCAATTCCTCCCTTAAGACTTTTGAACGCATAATCAGTGAGTTCTAAGCCAATATAGCCAGATAACGGTATTAGGAGAACTTCCGACAGGAGACTCAATAACTTATTCTGCCTCCTAACTTCGATCCATTCATTGAAAAGTCCACTGTGTTACTGTGTTCCGCCTATATCCCTTGCATATGTATGAGAATATACCGCCAGGAGAAGGTTCTGGACGACAGTGATCTAGATTGTAAGCAATGCAATTGAAGTAGTGGAGAATTTCAGGATGTCCAAGCCCGGGACTCCTCATACCCAAAAAAAAAAATTAAGCAGTATTGTGCAATTGTGTGTCAATTAAGACAAATATGTATTTACGAGGCGATTTGTATTTAGCTACCGATAACACTCAACGATAACACTTACGTTTTTCAGAGTAAATTTATATTTAAGTATTTATTTTATAGATTATAAAGTAGAATATTACTTGTCCCTGTTTAAAAGATCTTTTTGGTTTACCCTCTAACATTGACAATGAAAAGAAACTCTCTTATCAAGTTGACTCGACTTCAGAGCTTGAGCGAATGCACTCGAATAGCACAGTTTGCTTGTAGAAGAAGCACAATGCCTTCGCTTGCCCCACTCCC